GAGAATCCTTCTTTCCCCCAAAATAAGCTTCACCCTTGAATGATTCTAAAACTCTAAACCTTATTTCTGCAAAAAAAAAAAAAAAGAAACACAAGAAACAAGTGTAATTATCAAGGTTTTTAAAGATCTTTCAAGTTTTAAAAAATATTGCAAAACTATGTAAGTTTTTTATTTTTTCTTATAATATCTTGTGAATTTTTTTGCTTGAATGCTTGAAAATGTTTAAATATATGTTGACTTACATTTTTTGTGTTGAAAATCACAATCTTTTTGGCGTTATGACTAGATCTCTCAAAATTTTATAAAGAAATTTGGGGAAAAATATAAAGCAACAAAAAAATTGAAAATGTTTTTTTATCTGTCTATAAAGACTTAGGTGTTGTTTGGCAAATCTTTTTTGAAAGATCTTCTAGAAGATCTAACAACCAAAAGACATAATGAGCTTTTACATAAAGATCTTTTACAACCTATTTGGTTGGAGGCATGTCTTTCTGCACGAAGATGAGACGAAATAAGTTGAAAAGCTCCATTTGGAGCTTCCCGAAAATAGTCCAAAATGGGTTTCCTACATCATTTCGGGGCTGCGTCTTTTGGTGCTTAGATCTTTTCCCAACCAAACGAGAAAAGACAAAAACGTGGGATGTTGGTCTTCTAAAAAGCCGATAGTCCGCATGAAAAGATGTGCCAAAACGAAGCCTTAATATCCATAGAGCAATTAAAATTTCTTGTACAATATTTTTTCAATTTTTTTTGTAATTTTTTTAATTAAATAATAAAATTTAATTATTCATATTTTGTTATCTGCTCATAAAGCAGCATGTTGTAGATCTATGAATGATCTTTCATATCCATAGAGCAATTGAAAATTTCTTCTTCAATAGTTTTTTTTATTTTTTATATTTGTTGTAATAAAAATAAATAATAATTAATTATATTTTTATGATCTATCATAAGGATTGAATATATTGTAAATCTATGGATGATCTATCATATCCATGCATAAAGCAATTTAAATTTTTTCATCAATAATTATCTTTTGAATATATTGTATAATATTTATTTATTTTTGGTTTATTTTTGAAATTAAAAATAGATGGTAATCATTTAAATAATAAATAATTATTAATTATATTTTCACTTTGAAGTTGTGCCAATGCATGTTTTATGATTGGATAGAATAGTTGGGCCCTTGCCAACCCTTAAACACAAGAATTATAATTTATAAATTATAGTTAATTCTAGATAGGGTTGTTTATATCAAACTTAAGGATGGCAATTTTCCCCATTTCCCCAATCCCCGTGGGGATCTGCCCCAAATAGGGCAAGGAGGGGATGATTTTCCCCCTGAGGGGACAGAGATGGGGAAATTTTCATCCCCGTTTGYGGGGACGGGGAGAGCACTACCTACCCAACGTGGAGCTCGATCCCTGCTAATATATATGTATATGTACGCATACATTTTATATATGTATATATGTATACATACATCTATATATTAATATTTCTAAAAATATGGTTGAATATGTTTGAAATCGAGATATTCAAGGATATATTATTGCACTAAATAATCTACTTCCATTTAAAATTATTATTCATCTATATTCCATTTGAAATAATAAAAATTAATTGACTATAATAAAAATAAATTATTAAGTTACTTAAATGAAATAAAAATAATTATTAATTATTGTTAATGATAAAAATATCATTATTAATATAATAAAAGCAATTTAATTAATAAAAGGAATAAATTAAAAATGAACATCAATTTAAAATTAATATAAAACTAATACCAAATTATCTAAAAATTATTAGTTTTATAATTAAATTTATTAATTTAAAACCAACTTAAGTTCCACTATAAATAAAAAATTTATATAGTTAATTACATTCCATAAGGAATTTAAATTTAATAAAAACATAATATACTTAAATAAATTCAATCTTTACTAATTTTAAAAATTAATAAAAAATATTAGTTTTAAACATACTTTAATTATTTTAAAATCAATTTAAAATTCATTTAAAAATAAGGAAAATTATAAAAGCTTCGTTGGGTTTTCTAACAATCTTAAGAAACTCCCTGGTGTTTTGACCTTAACAGAAACCTCCCCTATTGTTTTGAAAAAAGGTGCAAATACCTTTCTTTAGTCTATATTCCAAATAAAAAATGTTGATGTAATGCATTAATTTTACTTCACTTCAGTTTTTTACATTTGTCCAACGAGATTAAGGGGAATTATTCTTTGAAAGTTGTCTAGAAAAAATAGATTAGTGGAGGGTAAAGTTGAAATTTTAAATTATATATGATAATGCATTAACAATGATAAGGGTATTTTGGTAACTTTAGTGTCTTTGTTACCGAAGAGTCAAGGGAAATGAGGTATTTGCATTTTTTGCTCAAAACTATAGGGGAGGCCTTTGTTAGGGTCGAAACAAAAAGGTGGTTTATTGAATTTTTAGAAGATGATATCGTTTAATAATTTTACCTAAAAATAATACAAAAATAATAATAAACCAATAAAAACTATTAAAATGCAACTTAGATTGTGATCAGATAAACTAGATATAACCCCAAAAAATAATACTTGAATTGAACTTAGATGGACACCATTTAATTGGAAATGCCATAGAACTCCATTTTCAACTTTGTTGATAAATAAAGCCCATGCATTACACAAGTTCTAACTAATATATTAATTAGATACAACAATATAAATGATATTCAAAAAGACACTTTTTTTTGTCATTTTTATTGCCTAAGCATGTGCTTAACGTGCACATGTTGAAGTCCACTATACTATGGGATGGGTGCCAAGAGTAATGGTGTCAATGGACCGGTTTTGGGTTGAACTCCGTCCAAATCAAAATTCATTTGGACGGACCAATAAGATGTATCGAATTTGGACAGGCTGGACGAACCAATTTGACATATTGGATTGGACCTGGTCCATCCATAATGAAATTATATTGGATTGAGCCAATATCTGGTCCATTGATAGAAGATAAGAACATAGGTGTCAATGGGTCAGGTTTGAGTTGAAACCAATCTAAAATTAACAAGAATTTGAACAGATTGAAYGGTCTCTAGATCAGTCGAAAATGGTCCAAAATATTCATTAGACTGAATTGAACCAGGTCCATTTATAATGGACTCACATTGAACTGGACCGGATTGGACCAAATCCAGTCCAATTGACACCCCTAGCCARGAGATAGGATTAGCTGAATGAATGCCATAACTGTTTACCAAGCTCTCCACACCAGTATAAAATATATGAGACCCATAAACTTTCAATGTTACTGTAGTTCGTGTATTTTATTACCTGTGTGGGACATTATCATTGGTTAGTCCAAATTCGGGTGCGAGGAGGATTTTGTGAGACGAAATCCGAATTCCCACCTCTCGCCCCGTTAAGGGTCGGTTCTGGATCCGTTACTCGTTACCTTCTGGCTTCTGGGTTTGATCCGGTCTTTCTCATCGTGGACCCGTAAGGCGGTATGGATCTGATTCGTTGGCAGCCGTAAATTCACGATTTCACGTTTCCATTGACTACGGTGGCAACCAGCCAACCACCCGCCACGGTCTGGCGCTACATCTTGTAAGTTAGGAGTAGTGAGGGACCCCTTTTTCCCCCTTCCCAGCAGCGTCTCGGTCTCTCTGAATTTGATTGTAGAAGATTGGAAGTCTCCATATCTGTATCAATCGAAATCATAGAACAAGCAAGCGTTAAGGTAAGTTATGGTTATCCGACTCATTTTCTGTGAGGAATCCTCTTAGGGCTCTCTTATTTCGTCAATCTTTTGCAAGAAAACCTTAATTATCCTCCTTCAAGTAAGCCATGTGCAGTATTATTTGCTTTTCTTGTTTGAATGTATTGGTGTTCTTATGCTTCTCTTGTTTTTGGTTTTCTTCTGCATTTTCTTTTTCTATTTCTTTTTTTTTTTATTAATTGATATATCTTTTCGATTTTTTTTTTGTTTTTTGTTTTTTTTTTGGGTTGACATGGTTTTCCCTTTTAGTATTAGAGAGTAGTACAGAGGAGTCATGACGACGGCAGCGAGACCCACATGGGCACCTGCAAAAGGTGGTCAAGAACAAGGTGGTACTCGAATTTTCGGTCCCTCACAGAAATACTCTTCTAGAGATCTTGCATCTCATACAACCTTAAAGCCCAGGTGGGTTATTTATCTCAACCTACTTCCGTGTCATCTTATTATTAAACCATAGTCTCTCTGCTTGTTATTTTCTTTAAATGATTTTACCATTTCCTTGTTGATAATCAATGTAGTTTTTCTTCTTCATCATGATTTTCTTCTTCTTGCGCTTGGATGTTGGGCGTGTGGTTCTCTTTTTGGGTTGGGGGGGGGGGTGCGGTGGGGTTGGTGGATGTGTGGAGGTGAGGGCCTTTCAATGGACAAGGGTTTGAATATTGGTATTAGACCATCTTGGAGCCACTTTAAGATCAGTTACACCTAATTGCTTGGAATTAGTATTAGATTTGAATTAGATATACTATATGAAGTTCCCCTAATTGAGAAGGGCAGATGCCGTGACAAAATAGTAGGATGGCAATGGTTGGTCATGGTATATAAGGCTTATCTATGGCTTTCTTCTATGGACATGAACTATAAACATGAGATGCAGGTATTCATATCTACATAATATTGAACGACTTATTATAAAACTGTAATTTGTGTACTATGTGCTTCTTTTGTTCTGATTTATGGTGCTAAATCCTTTTAAGGGAAAATTCCCGATTAGTACCCTGTACTTTGGGCCTAGTGCCACTTTGGTCCCCAAACTTTAAAACGCGACAGTTCAGTACTCAAACGTTCAAAACGTGCCAATTTAATACCTACCATTAAGCAGCCGTTAAGTGGCATTTGAAAAGACACAAATGCCCTTCAAGTGTCATTGACAAAAAATGAACAGTTCCAAATCCTTGCCTCTTCTATTCAAGAAAGTAGGGACCACCAGAATGCCCACTGAGATGTGACCTCAACTTTCTTGAATAGAAGAGAAAAGGATTTGGGACTGTTCATTYTTTGTCAACGTTTGGATGGTTAATAAAGAAAATTAGATGACACTCGAAGGGCATCTGTGTCTTTTCAAATGCCACTAAACGGCTGGTTAATGGTAGGTACTAAATTGGCACGTTTTGAAAGTTCGGGTACTGAATTGTCGCATTTTAAAGTTCGGGGGACCAAAGTGGCACTAGGCCCAAAGTATAGGATACTAATCGGGAATTTTCCCTTCTTTTAAGTTTGACCGGTTTAGTTAAAGTGTTGCCTAGGCATTTGGGAGGCTTTTTACTAGGTGACCAACAGCCAACTAGGCAGATGGGAAAGACATAAATACAAATGGGGCAAATACTTATTCATGCCTCCTTTATATATTCATTCTGAATGTGTCTAACACATTTTGGGTTGGTAGGAATGTATGTAGAACTAAAAGTTGGGGCATTTTATTCCTATGCTTTTCCCCCCTTTGAGCCAGGGCGGTTAGATAAAACTTTTCTCATTCTTTATCTGAAAATCAGGGATATGTTTATTTGATTGTTTGTTTTTGCTGCGTAGGCATCATATTGTTGCCTTAACAAACTGGTTTTGGTTTGTATATTATCTAAGTAAAAATGTAGTAGCATCTAAGTTATGGTCATATCTTTATCAACAGTTTATTTCTATAATATTTGCTTACAGAAAAGAGGGGCAGGATACCCAAGAAGAATTGAAGAAGAGGAACCTCCGGGAGGAGCTAGAAGAGCGTGAACGGAGGCATTTTTCTTCAAAGGATAAGTCTTATATTGGTAAAGGCACCACATCTTTTATATATTGTGATCTCTATCCCATCATTTTATTTTCTTTATTAATATCCCATCTAGTTGTTACCATCTGGTCCTTTTAATTTCATTTTATACATCAAGTATTTGTTTCTATTTTGATCTTAACCTTATTTGGTTGCAGAGGACAGAGATCGAAGAAAAGGAGGCCAACTACTTTTGGAAGGTATTTTCTGTTACTTCCTTTGTCAAGTAGACCCTAGGCTGTTAATTAGTTTGACTAATTTTTGGCACATAATTGCAGGGACAAAGCGAGATGCTGAAGATCGCAKAGTTCCACGTAATGTAGATGCTGATGATTCTGATGTTGATGTTAAAAGTGACGATGGAAGGTCTTCTTTGTTAACTTATATTTTTACGAATATGTTCCATACAAACAATCGACTGATTACTGCTATACATCCATTTATGTATTACAATTTTTTGGGAAAGACTCACTAAGATTGTTTTACTTAGTGCAATCTGGCTTTTAGTAGTATTTTTTTAGTCTGACTTTTAGTAGTATTTCTTTATATCTTCAATTGTTCTTCAAGGATCTAGTATGGATGACATTAATGTGGCATTTTTTTATATGCATCATTGCATTGTGAGTTGTTTTTTTGTACTCATCCTCGTGCACTGGGGGCTCTCTTTGAAAAAATTGCATGTCTTGTCATTGCTAAAAAATTTATAGATTGTATTTAGGTTCTCCATTTATGTTTATTTGGTAAATGGTATGTAAATTAGTTTGAAGTTTAACCTATAAACATGTGCTTTCTTTTGATTTGTAGGCAAATATGACTTGGATTTAAAGGAAAATTCTATTAAACAGTTGTAATGCCAACTATTTTGTATGGAGCAAAGTGTTGGGCAGTCAAGAAACAGCATGCCCAAAGAATTTGGAAGAAATGTGAATGCTAAGATAGTTGAGTAGAAAAACTAGAAATGATAGGATTTGGAATGAAGTTATCCGTAGGAACCTAGGAGTAGCTCCAATAGGTGATAAAATGAGAGAGAGAGTAGACTATGATGGTTTGGGCCTATGCATAGAAGATCACCAACTGTGGCAGTTAGAAGAAGTGATCTGTTACACATTGAAGGGGCTAGAAGAGCTGGGGGTAGACCAAAAAGGATATGTGTTAAATGATTTAATTCATTTAAGCACTAATAATTTAACAAGTGGGTATGGCTTTAAATAGAATGGATTGGCGAAACAGGATTCATGTAGCTGACCCCATATGGTTGGGATAAGGCATGGATGATGGATGATGATGAGATCTTTTGATTAAAGGGTGAGAAATTTTCTTTTTTCTTGTGGGTGGGTGGTTGGGGGAGCTAGAGGTGCTTCCTTAGTGGTGTATAGTTAGGGCCTTAGGGAATAGCTAAGAATGGAAGACCAGGTTATCTGTTGTTTTGGAGGAGGCTAGTACTTTGTCTAGGCTATGGGAGTTGTATGCACCTCTTATGGTTTCAACAGGTGTCAATAGCTGTTGGCATCTATCATTCTGAAACTTGGTGTGGAGATTATGGTAGTCCTTACAGCTGATTGTAGATCTAGCCATGAAGAAATTTCTATGAGCCAGAGCTAGAAGTTCTTAGTGATGTATGATTAGGGGATAGCTAAGAATGGGAGACTAGGGTGTCTGTTGTTTTGGAGGAGGCTGCTACTTTGTCTAGGGCCTCTAGGCTATGAAAGTTGTTTGTACCTCTCAGGGTTTCAACATATGTCAATAGCTATTGTCATCTATCATTGTAAAACTTGGTGTGGAGGTTATGGTATCTTTAGAGAAAACTTTAGATCTAGCCATCAAGAAATTGCTACCAGCCAAGACTAAAGAGCCCAAATTTGTTCATCCATGAAGCATACTTATTCAGGCAATTAAAGAACATGCAAGCTCCCCCCTCTCCCCCCCTCCAAAAAAAAAATGAAAAAAAAGGTGAAGTGTACCTTGACTACCTTCATTGATTGAAAATTAAATGGATAAAAAAGAAAGCATCCATGTACCCAAAGGAATTGTACACCATATTTATAGCATTATCTTATAAGCAATTTTTCATAATAAAAAAAGTACTGAATGGTAGACTTTGTAGATCTTTGTGAATTGAGAACCATGAGAACAGGGCACTCACTACTCTTTTTACAATGACCTCCTTTGAACTGGAATTATTTTCAAAAATATGAGCATCTCTCCCTCCAAATGTTCTATAAAATTACTACTTGTATAGTTTGCTAAATAACCTTGCCTCTTCTACTAAGCCCTTTCAGATTCCAACTATGAAGAAGAGCCTCCAATATGTTTTTGATCAGCAAAGAATTCATTTATTAAATTATTAAATATTTGTTGCAGGGCAAATATATGTAGCCCATGATACAATAAATTACAACAAAGCCCAAAATAAGGAGGGTCTATTAGCTCCTTGCTTAGCTAACACATCTACTAGCCCATTTGTTTCCCTTATGTTAGGGCAAGCTACACTGAATCCAGGCCGGTGTATGGAAATAGCGAGCCCAAGCTCGAGGCCTACAAAAGAAGAACTCCACGTTAGCTCTCAGGTCCAACTAATGACAGGGTGGCATAATCAAATGTAACAAGAATTGGGAATTGACTTCCAAGGATGTAACAGAATGTAACAACCTCATGAATAAATACAATCAGAGGAAGGAAAGGAGATAATGACTATTCAGACAATTCTCTCTCTCTCTCTCTCTTACTCTTTCATTCCAAGAGGTGGTTCCTCATTAGAACCCTGTGTTGGGCAGTTCCTAACAACTTGGTATCAGAGCCAGATGCTGAACACACGAGCAACTCCGGTGGATGTCAGAGTCGACCAAGTTGAAGTAGAGCTCCATCGCATATCCGGGGACATAAGGGAAATGAAAGACACACTGGTAGCCCTGGTAAGGAAACTCGAGCAGACAGAAGGTGAGGGAAACAAGGGAGTCAATCCCAATGAAGGAGGAAGTCACAGTAGCAACTGACGGAGCAGTTCTTGGCTGGAAAGAAACCCCAAAATCGCATTTCCAATCTTTTCTGCCGGCGACCCCATCCCATGGATCTACAGGGCGGAGAAGTTCTTCGAGTTCAACGAGACCCCTAGCCAAGATCAAGTCTCTCTAGTAGTGATCCATCTGAAGGGAGACAATCCTTTGGTACCAATGGTTTCGGCGGTGATGCCCCAGGTTGTCCTGGATGGATTTCATAGAGGCACTATGCATTCGGTTTGGGGAATTGGGTTATGAAGATTTCAATGAGAGTCTCGCCAAACTCCAACAGACCGGGAGTGGTCACGATTACCAAACAGAGTTCAAGCGCTTAGCCATATGCGCGCATGATTGGCCAGAGCGTGCACTAGTCGGAGCCTTCGTCAGAGGACATCAGATTGGAAGTAAGAGCACTCCAACCTGCCACTGTCATGGATGTTGTTGCCTTGGCCAAGATTCAAGAACGACTGAACAAAGCAAGGAAATTTAGTCGGCCATGGTTACCACCGCAAAGATCGGTCAACTTTCCAAGGTCTGACAAACACAAAAGTGATAGTGTTGCCCAAGGAAAGAAGATAGCATTCTGGGTAAGCCTAGAAATATAAACCCCGACCCAACATTTCCTTTCAAGAAGTTRTCATGGGCCGAAATGCAAGCCCACAGAGAAAAGGGTCTCTACTACAATTGTGAAGAACGATTTGGGCCAAGTCACCGATGCAAAACTTTGCAAATCTACACACTCCAAGATGACAATGAAGACGGAGCCGTAAGTGGTATACATCTTAATGGATCGCCAGAATTCAATTGGGCCGAAGAACAACAGCCAGCACCGGAGATATCTTTCCAAGCCCTTATCGGGCTCAATTCTCTAGAAACAATGAGGGTTTCAGGAAGAGTCAAAGGGCGCCAGGTGTCCATCTTGATTGATAGTGGAAGCACCTTAAATTTCATAATGGGTGTGCTGGCCCAACAACTGGGATTACCAATCCAACCTATAACAGCATTTAAGATCCAAGTAGGAAACGAGACATCTCTTTCCTGTGAGGGCATCTGTACAAGCATCGAATTGGGGATCTAAGGGCAGCCATTTGTGGTGGACTTATACCCACCAGAGTTTAGCGAAGCTAATATTGTACTGGGAACTTAGTCATACCATCCTTTGGTAACTTAATCATACAAGCCCCTTGTTAGCCCAGGCCCAAAATGCAACCACACAAGAACATCAGCAACTGAGAGCACTTCTCCAGCAATATGCAACAGTATTCCAGGAGCCTACAAAATTACCACCTTCTCGGGAACACGATCACCGCATTCCATTGCTTCCAGGAGTGATCCCCATGAATGTAAGACCCTATCACTATACTCAATTTCAGAAGAAAGAAATCAAGAAGCAAGTTAAAGAATTATTAGATAAACAATTCATCCAACCAAGCCATAGCCCATTTTCTTTCCTAATCCTCTTGGTCAAGAAGGCGGGACATGGTGTTTTTGCATTGATTATAGGGYACTCAATAACATCACAGTCAAGGATTGGTTCCCAATCCCAGTGATTGACAAGCTTTTGGATGAGCTCAAAGAAGCCCAAATTTTTTCTAAGCTGGATTTACAGACAGGCTATCATCAAATTAGAGTGCACACAGATGACATATACAAAACAGCATTTCACACTCATGATGGACACTATGAATTTCGGGTCATGCCATTCGGGCTCACAAATGCCCCAGCAACCATCCAATCCCTCATGAATGATTCATTTCATCCATACCTACACCGGTTTATACTGATTTTTTTTTTTGATGATGTCCTAGTCTACAGCCCCACATGGGCCCAACACTTGGAGGATTTAGAAGTCACTTTGAAGGTTCTCTTGCACAGTCAATTATATGTGAAAGAATCAAAGTGTGCTTTTGGCCAATCCCAAGTACACTACCTCAACCACGTGGTAGAAGGGGGCACGGTAATGGCGGACCCAGAAAAAGTGGCAAGCATCCAGCAATGGTCCACACCTACAAGTGTGAAGGAACTTCGAGCCTTCTTGGGCTTGACAGGATACTACCGACGTTTCATTAGCGTATATGGCCTCATTGCTAGCCCATTGACAAATCTACTAAGAAAAGATGCGTTTGCATGGACTCCAGAAGCCCAATGGGCCTTTGAAAATCTCAAAACAGCTGTCTTCACCACCAGCATTAACATTACCAAACTTCAACAAAACATTTGTTATAGAATGTGATGCATCTGGTCAAGGGATCGGAGCTGTATTGATGCAGGAAGGGAAACCCTTTGCCTTCTTTAGTAAGGCACTTTTAGTACAACCAGGATCTAGCTTGGTATAGACAAGGGAGCTGGTAGCWGTAGTCTTGGCGGTCTTACATTGGCRTTCCTATCTACTGGGGCACAAGTTCATAATCAGAACTGATCATCAAAGTCTCAAATTCTTACTGGGACAGCAGATTCTATCCCCAAATCAGCAATGTTGGGTCTCAAAGCTCATGGGGTTTGGTTATTCAATTGAACATCGACCGGGAGCAACAAACAAGGCGGCTGATGCACTGTTGAGACACCCAGAACTGAAGCAGCTACAGGTCTCTCTTCAGCCCACAACTAAACTCTGGGACCAAGTTCGAGAAGAGGCATCTACAAGTCCCGAACTACAACAGACAAAAGACCACCTTTCACAGCAATCTGCACCTAATTACATGGTCAAAGGACCCTTACTCTACCATAAAAACAGGTTAGTGCTACCAGCCAACTCAGCCCATATAGGCTCATTGTTAGATTACTTTCATGCTTCACCCATAGGGGGCCATTAAGGGGTGCTCCACACGTACAAATGCGTTGCATCTCAGTTCTATTGGAAGGGAATGATAAGGACTATCCGGAAGTACATTGTCAACTGCAAGATTTGTCAGCAATGCAAATATGAGGCCCAATCTCCAGCAGGCCTACTCCAACCTCTTCCAGTTCCCACCCAAATTTGGGAAGACATCTATGGATTTCATTACTGGGCTTCCACTTTCAGCAGGTTAATCAGTGATTTTGGTGGTGGTAGACCGTCTTACCAAGTACAGTCATTTTCTGGCATTAGCACATCAATTCACAGCAATAACTGGCTGATGTCTTTGAATGGGAAATAGCCCGCCTCCATGGATTTCCCAAATCAATTTTGTCAGATAGAGATCTCGTGTTCCTTGGTACATTTTGGAGAGAACTATTTCATGTACAGGGTGTTCAGCTAAGGAAATCAACTAGTTATCATCCTCAATCGGATGGACAAATAGAGGTAGTCAAAAGATGTCTGGAGACATACCTGCACTGTTTTTCAGGTTCCAAACCCAAACGAGTAGTGGTATAAATACCACCTATCATGTTGCTGTGGGGATGACACCTTTCTGTGCCTTATATGGTCAAGAAGCCCCCAGCTTACTGCCTTACAAAAAGGGTTCCTCTCCAGTTGCTTCATTGGAAGAAGCATTGACCCAACAGGATGCTACTCTACAGGAGCTCAAACACAACTTGAACCAAGTGCAACAGTGGATGAAAAACACATATGACAAACACCACTGGGAAGTGGAGTATCAAGTGGGTGACTTTGTATACTTGAAATTGCTCCCTTACCGCTCACTATCAGTAAGGCAACAACACTGGAATAAGCTGTCTCCACGCTACATTGGGCCTTTCAAGATCATCGAAAGGATAGGCAACCTTGCCTGCTGCTTGGAGCTACCTGAACACTCTAAAATTCATCCTGTATTCTGCATTTCAGTTCTGAAGAAATGTCTCAAGCCAGATGTAGTAAGTCAGCCCACTCTACCCAAGTTTACTGAAGACATGGCTTTAGTCACAGAACCACAGTCCATTGATTTTTGTTGGGTAAAGAAAGGACATCATGTGGAACCGGAAGCTCTGGTAGTGTGATCTCAACTACCCAAGGAAGATGCAACATGGGAGCCTTTATCCAACTCCACCGCCAATTTCCCCATTTTGACCTTGAGGCCAAGGTCCAGCTTAACAGGAGGGGTATTGTTAGGACAAGGTGCACTGAACCCAGGCCAGTGTATGGAAATAGCCAGCCCAAGCTCGAGATCTACAAAAGAAGAACTCCATGTCAGCTCTCAGGTCCAACTAATGACAGGGTGGCATAACCGAATGTAACAAGAACTGGGAATTGACTTCCAAGAATGTAACAGAATGTAACAACCTCATGAATAAATACAATCAGAGGAAGTAATTGTTAGGACAATTACTCTCTCATTCCAGGAGGTGGTTCCTCGTTATAACCCTGTGTTAGGCAGTTCCTAACACCTTATCACCCATCCAAAGTTAGAATTGTATTTCTTTGCAAGTAGGTCAATTTGTCTGAAGATGAATCTAAGTTTCCAGGGTGCTGAATCAATTTGCTTTGCCCATGTTATGACCAAAAGGGAATCTCCTTCAATTTCCAACTCTCTTGCCACTAATTTTTCAGCAAGATTTAGGCTGCATTTGGCATTCCTTATTTTAAGAACTTGTCTCCTTTTTGCAGTTAAAATACCCTATCAACATTGAGTTTTTAACTGCAAAAAGGAGATAAGTCCTTAAAATAAGGAATGCCAAATGCAACCTTAGTCCTTGTAACAGTGCTTTTGATTCAGCCTGAATCAAGTCACCAAAACCGATTGGTCCGGAGAACAAAGCCACCACTATTCCCTTGATGGTTCCAAAAGACTCCAATTCCTTAAGATGTCATCAGTAGGAACACTCTTGAAGAGCTCCAGTGTTTTAACCCAATGTACCAGTTTGATTTTAATGGCTTCAATCACTTTCTCCTTTGATTTACTTTTCTCATTGAAGATCCTTTGATTTCTTTCTTCCCAAATTGATCAAACCAAGGCTGCTCATACTACCTTCCATATACATCCTCCCCTTTTCTTCTGTTGCCTCGGAAAATTTGGTGTAAAAAGGCTCACTACGTCTTGTTGGGGGACCCATCTGCAACCAAAGAGAGAGCAAAAGTAATCCCAAATACAAGATACAAAGGAGCAGGTGAGTAGTAAATGAGAAAGGGTTTCACTACAAGCCTTTCAAAGAACACACACATGAGGACAGGCATTTGGCCTTCTTTTCTGTAGCACATTACAAGTATTTACCTTCCCTTGAGAACATTTCCCAGCAAAGAGCTTGTACTTTAGGAAGAATTGGTTTGCACTGGATTTCTCTCACAGGAAAATTTACCCCCACTGTATCAGACCGGGCAAACAGGTTAAAAAAAGCACAAGAAAACAAGCCATCGGGAGCTGGATGCCAAATTCTATTATCAAGGCCATTTTGATCTAGGTAAACAATTTCCAGTTTTGACAATAGGTCAAGAAGAACCTCCAATATTGCTAGTAGGCACCCTTTCACCCCCAATACTTTCCAATAAACTTAACTAACACTGAATATGCCATTTTGCAGTGAATGAATAGATAATCTGCTGTATCCAWTGTTACAGAACATATGAAGAATTGTGTTTGAGTCTAACAGCATCCCTCTCTTATTTCCTTTGTCAGTTCCCCAAAACATCTATGATCTATCTGAACCTTTTTTGTAGTTAACACCACCTTAGAAGGAATATGACATATCCAGATTTTAGAGCTAGGAAAGTGATCAAGGGTCTCTTCATTTAAAGATCTGAAAGGGAATTTAGCTGGGATTTATGAAAAAAGGGGGGATTAGGCCGGAAAGAAACTAGATGCCTCCCATATCCATATCCTTCTCACCGTGATTTAAGCAGGGCTTCTTTTGAATCTTTGCTAGAAATTCCACCATCTCCTCAATCTCCCAATTGTTTAAATTCCTTCTCATCCTAGGGTACCCACCTTCCCATCGTGGATGTCAAAACAATCAGCCACTAGTGTGAGTAAACAATGTAGGAAAAAGATCCATGAATGGCTGGCCCTCCCACCATAGGTCTCTACAAAATCTGACCCTTTGACCATTCCTGACCTTATATCTGATGTCTTTCATGAACTGAGGATAACTTTTCTCTGTACCTTTCCATAACGCACACCCATATGATTCCCTAGCCTCACCTGGGTCCCATTCCAAGTCTCTAGTTCCATTGCTTAGTAGCAAAGTACTATCAGGTTCATTATAATGCCAAAACCATTTCCCAAGTACATACCTTGTTCCAATTCACCAAATTGATCCTTTTCATCTTTCTATCCTTTTTCATAGCCAACATTTCATCCCAGTATTGCTGCTAAAGCATCAATGTCTTGCATCTCTCCCACCACAACCGACTCATTTTTGTGCATCTTAATCTGTAATCTCAGCAAAGCTTCAAACCACCTCAAAAATACATTAAAGTACAGCAAGTTCTATTAGGTGCATGTTTTGCACAATTCCTAACTGATGGCCTTGAAGTAGAGATAGGATAGAAAACCCTGCTTATATGTTATTATCTTTATCTTCCATTTGTAATTCTCACGTGTCATGTAATTCAACTTATTCCCTAGTAATTTATCCTTCTTTGATGAGGATGATATTCTGGTGTATAATACATACTACTWCCTTCTACCATAATTTTCTTGCTTACCACTCTCAGCCACTCCTCACCCCAACCTAATCACCTAAAAATAAATAAATAAAAAGCATACTCTATTATTACTTGACATGAATGTATATTTGGGTTAGAAGTTCATGCATAATTTATTTCTTCAGTCTGTATATGTTAGTACTTGGTATATGATAACTTGATGTTCTATCTTTTTATTATTTGCTGAAATGATGTTATATTTGTTGCTAGTGACGACGACGACGATGATGATGAAGATGACACAGAAGCTCTTCTGGCTGAACTTGAAAGAATAAAGAAGGAGAGAGCTGAGGAGAAGCTTCGGATGGTCAGTCTCCTTGGCCTTGGGGATCTCTCTCTCTCTCTGTAGTCTCCTTGCCCTTGGGGATTAATCTCTTGGTTTGCCTCTTATAAGCTTCTTGTTTTCTGTTCTAAAATGGATTATGTTCCGGTTTTCTGACAAGCCTCAAGCAACTCAACAATTTGGTCCTTGGCCAAATTGATTTATCAATTGGTTTCTGAATGCTGAACCTTATTTTTTGTACATCTAAAGAATACATGCATATACTATGTCTGATTTGAAGCTTGTTGTATACGTTCTTAGTTTTTCTTAAAATGTTGATGCCATGATGTCATAAATGAATAAACTAACTGTAATGTATGCCTTCCTTAGGAACGACAAAAACAGGAAGAGGAGCTGAAAGCTAAAGAAGCAGAACTGATCCGAGGAAACCCTCTGCTTAATCCAACTTCTTTTGGTGTCAAAAGAAGGTTTTGCTTTGAACACCTGTGTTCCTTTCCTTATTATTATAATTTATATGAGTGAATAGACATCACCAAATTTACATTCATCCCATACTAATCTTAATGTTTCTCCTGATGTTGTATTTGTTGATGTGGGGAAGGTGGGACGATGATGTAGTGTTTAAGAACCAGACTCGTGGAGAAACCAAGACACCCAAGCGTTTCATCAATGACACCATCAGAAATGATTTCCATCGGAAATTTCTGCAGAAATACATGAAGTAGTTTTTCAATCAAGCATTGTGAACTCTTTTAGAACTTAAAATTCTTTGGTTTTTCAATCAAAAGCATTTAACTGATCTGTTAAAAAAGTTGGATGTTTCTGCTCAATGTACTATGGGTTGAATGAAGGTAATTTATAACTGAAGGGACTAGCAAAACAGGGTTCATGTAATTGAAGTGTGTTCAATTACAAGGAATGTATCTTTGTGTTTTCTGACTTTCTCCACCTGTGAAATGTGATCAAGTTGACGGGTATTTGGTATTGACGATGCTTGCTGTTGCTGGACGACCAGCTTTCTCCGTCATCTATACGAAGCTTTTAACCGTCTCTTCTAAGAAGGAATGGAACATGAAGCTGTTGGTTCTGTATGTTATGTTTTGCTAAGTATTTGTAAAGAAAAATATGGAGCAGCTTCATTTCATTATGTAAAATTGAGAATTACAGTATTGTATCTTACAGCTACTTRACTTTTACATGCAAAATAAACAAAGATACGAGCAACCTTGTTTCTTTCCTTGTGTAAATTGATGGTGCCAAAAGAGTTGATGATACATATGCCAAGAGGAACCAACCATTCCAAAATTCCAATAATGGTGGTTGGTTATGTGTAATTGATCTTCATATAATTAATCCATCATCCAATGTAGCCGACCATGACCCATGACACTACCAAATCTTCCCCACTGGGCACTGGTGGCTGCCTTGTGACTATGTGAGTTGTTTCTCCTCATCAACAGCCAGAATATTTCTCAAGGCTTCAACAATGATTTAATTGAAAGTGAAAGCCTCTCGCCGCTGTGGAAAGCTAATATGACTGAATCCTTGTGTTGTAGGTAACGTTGCCATTACAACATCACGTAATTGCCTAATTTTACAAGTTTACATCGTTTGTATTTTGCATTAGTCAGCTCAACCGTGAAGATGTTACTAAGCAGAACGGAAGTTAAAAAGGTGATTTACATCTTTGTAGTTGGGATTCAGAAATATCCATTTACATTCATTAACATGTTCCTAATGTACAAGTACAGGGTGATGGTGTAATGTAACTATCTTGACTGACTTATTGCCAGAAACCCAATAAAACCAGAACTGGGATTCACCTTGTAATCCAATATACCGTCAATTTCTGTACAGTCTATAAACCACTTCTTAAATCTGGCAGGGATCTGATGATGGATGAGTCTTTGATTGACTTCAATTAGATGGCCTGTCCTGGCCTGAGTCTGAGTGACCAAAGCTTATATGGAAATCACTCTTCAGATGGAAAAGCAACATGTCTCAGGCAGGTGGCATTTCAGAAGGGGTGCAAGATGCAGCCCTAAGCTGGAGTCGGCTCATGCTTAGTTCCATACTTCGGTGGACCATGTCTTGTAATAGCTTCTTAGCAGTTTCAGCAGCTTTGTCTGCTCCATCCACTCGGGTAGCAATATCATAGACTATGCTCTCCAAAACCTCTGATGCCAATCTCCTCTGTGGAGGAGTATCTCTGAGTAGGTCCAGCAGCGTCCGTGCTTTCTCTTGGGCTTTTGTTGTACCCTCCACAGTTAGTCGCAGAAGGCCAGGGATTGCTCCTTCTTTGAGGATTAGTTCCCTGTACTTGTTCCTGCAGCTCTGGCACAGAGAGAGAAGAACACCAACCGCGTGCTCTGTGCTGATCAGAGACCCATCTTCTATGGTCTCCACCAGAGTAAGAATCCCCCCATTAGTGTCTGAGATTGCACTCCGGCCTTCTTCATGGTTAGACAAGATTTCAAGCAAGGCTGTTGTTTTCTCAGCAAACTTGGAGTATTTCCTGCATTCTTTGAGGAGGACAAGGAGAGGTGGAACTGCTCCAGCAGGGAGGATTGGAGTGCAATTCTCGGTGCAGGTGGATAGGTTGTATAGAGCCGTAACTGCATCAACTTTTCCTTGAACGCTTCCGGAGCTAAGAATCTGGACAAGATGGGGAGCCACTCCGGAAGCCGCAATGGTTGGTTTGTTTGAAGCTGAAGCTGAGAGCGTTAGAATTGCTGCGGTGGCTAGCTCCCTTAAGCTTCCATTCTGGAACTTGAGGAGGTCTACCAGAGGAGGAACTGCACCGGATGCAACTATCCTAACCTTGTTCCTGTGAATCGGAGAAAAGAGTAAGCATAGCATGATGACCAAATAGGATAACAGACTAAACAGCAAGAAATAACAATTCGACATCATTACTGAGATGAAAGGGGGTAAGAGCAAGAACAAACACAATTAGATTTGTGCAATTCCTGCAATTAATTTTATATCACTTAACATTTTCCTTTTGGGGTTTCCGAATCCCGTTCTTACCATCTTGTGAAAAGGAAAGCTTAACTTGGAGAGGGAAAAGAATAGCAAAGATATTAGAACCAAACTGGAGCGAGATCCAGTGGAATATACAGGAGTTGAGACTAATATAAGGTAGAAAGAGAGTGGAGCAAAAACATAAGCAATTTTTTTTTGGGGCTGAAAACATATCCACCCAAAATGCTCAACGTGGTCAGTGTGGGAGAAAATATTACTTCAGCAACCATAGGGGCTCAGTGGAATCCCACTTGATAGAGGAACCTAATGTACATAAAACATGCCAATATCAAAACATTCTGCGACGAAATCAGAGGCAAAGAGAGCATCTTAGTCATGCTCAAACAAACCCTAATTTGGCAAACATCCAAGGCGTTTTTTTGGGTCAAAATGAATTGTGTTTTTAACAAAGAAAAAGGAGGAAAGAGAAGCCCAATTATTGCCTGATAGACATAAAAATCAAGAATTTGACCAACAAGAACTACGGAAATTGAAGCGAACCAAACAGCAGGAAATCGAAAGAAAGGTTTATGTTATAATCTAGGGTTGGTTGGGGCAATAAGCGAGCCATACAGAAAGTAAAGGAAGAAACCCTAAGTCCCTAGCCGCACCAGCGGGGAGAGAGAGAGAGAGAGAGCTAACCGTTCGTTGCGGACGGCAAGATTGAGGAGAGCGAGGAGAGCAGCTTCGGTGGCGTCGAGGTTGGAGGAGAGGAGCATGGAAACAAGGGGTTGGATGACGCCTGCGGCAGCGAAGCTAGAACGGGTCTTGACGGAGGACTTGGCGAGCTTTCTGATATCCTTGGCGGCCTGTATCTTGGTATCGAGATCGCCATGGATGATCTTGCGAGCAAGGTCCTGGATCAGATTCTGCTTTTTCTGGTTCCAAGTCTCTTCTTCCTGGTCCATCCTCGTATTGTGCCCCATGACTCCAATCCCAAAAGAATAGAATAATTAATGATAATTGCAGAGTTTCAAGCTTCCAGGCAGCCCTGAGCCCKCCTCCACCTCCTCTGTCTGGTATCCGGCGATGGTGGCCAGCGGCGGCCTTGCTCCAGTCTCCCTGGCTCACTCAGTCAGTCGGTCATTCACCAAGAAATAGAGAATCTTTTTGGTGTGAGAAGAGTGAGTAGAGAGCGTAGTATAGCTAAAGCTAAAAGCAACTGGACATAACAAAGGTCAATTTATGTAAGGTGCATGCAGATTCATATTCCATTTCCGTCTTAAATGTGTGTTAGAAGAGGACAATTGCACGTTTGCACTTTGATACATGATGATGATGCATTATTGATGATCATGATGGATGAGAGGCAGAGAGAGAGAGAGAGCGAGTCATTTGCGTTTGCGTGGGACCCATCTACGTGGAGCCGGAGCCCTAGGATCTAGGAAAGGATTTGGCGGCAACTGATCTATCATTTATTGTTATGTATATTATATCCACTGATCTGGACAATAGATYTCTCTCTCCCTCTCTCCCTCTCTCTAGTTCCTTGGAGGGAAAATTGATGGATGGAAAAGCTGATTAATAGGCGACCGAGGCATGGCGACATTGGCGAGAGGCGTAACACCTCAATGCGAGGCGTTCAAATTTTGCATGGCGTCAGTAGGTGGTATTTGATATGAAAAGTTAAATAGATATTAAAAATGTTTGAAAAGAGTTATAATTGTTTTTCTATTTTTTAGAGGATCTCAATGTTTGTTTGTGTTGAATCAACCTTTTACCATTTCAAATTTATTGATTTTATTATTTTACTCTTAGAATATATTATTTAAAAATATTGAGTTCAATTTGTATTATCTCATAAAAAATAATTTTCAATCTCAAAATAATATTAAAATAATAAATTATTAATTATTAATTAATAAATGAAACGATTAAAATTAAAAAAATAATTAATGACTATAACAATATTAAAATAATTAATAATTTATACAAATAAAATTTAAAATAATTTTTAAAAGTTAAAGAAATAATTAAAAATTACTAGTTAATAAAAATAATTAATAAATAATAAATAATACAAGTAAATTTAATAAAAAATAATTAATTTTTAATAAAAATATTAAAATAATTAATAAAAATATTATTATTCATTGAACCACATGTAGCAACGATGGCGGTGGTGGGAAGATAGGGGAGGGAGGGAGAGAGAGAGAGAGAGAGAGAGTGCAGCGGCGGTGGAGCTTCATTAGGTCGTAGGGACAGTTCGATTTGATTTACATGAAGGACAAAAATATGTAATATTAAAATTTCTTTGAGGGCATTTATGTCTTTTATGCACCTCTGAATTAGGTCTGAGTGCATTAAGCAGTCTCTCCGCCTCTTAGAAATTAAGATCTGAAATCCAATTTTATATTTGTAATAAGAGGTCATACCAAACAAAGAAGATGTCTGAAAAGCAACATTTTCAAATTCAAACATTTGAAAAGTGCAATCAAACGCCACCTTAGTTTTAGTGAAGCGTAGGCTTTTAGCCTTTCCCTCAATTTACATGAGGCAATAGCCTTAAGTTAAAGGGGTTTTGGGTGGGGATAATTGGATTTTAGTATGGGCACTTTTAGAAAAAAAAAAGTAAAAACCCCAAAATGTAGCGATTTCAACGACTAAAATCGAATTTCTCTATTTTCGTTTTTCAATCGAACTCAAGAAAACCAAATTCATATCTCTTCTACAGTTCTCTGTTCTATCTTCTACTTCTCAAGTCAAACTCAAGATTCAAGAAGACAAAAATATTGGTCAAAATCAAATCGTGCGATTGCATACAGATCCTCCTCCTCTTCCTCCTCCTCCTCCTCCTTCTTCTTCTTCTTCTTGAATCTTGCGTACAAATTCTCCTCCTCATTTTCACTTTTTTTTTTTTTTTTTTATCTCAAACTATCAATTAAGTGGGGCAGTAGATTTGTGGGAGGTCAGAGACTCAAAGGTGCTGACGTGCTACTTTCTTTTAGTTTCACTTTTAGATAGTAAGTGTTGTGATAACTGATAACTGATGAGATGATTGGATACATGTTGCCATGTTGTCATAAACTCATAATATATGTTGAATTTGGATCCGTTTTGTCATCTTCCATGAACAACTCTTGTCACAACTATCAATGAAGTTTTATCATGGCAGCCAGGAAATGAGTCTAATTCATTTCAAGATTTGTCTGAAACTTTCGAAAAAATTTGAACAATTAGCAAAAAGATCTAATTCATAATTCATACGAATAATCTTGAAAAGATTTGAACAATCAACAATTGTTGAACCATTGATACATTAAGTGACAAATAATTATATAAAACTTCAATTATTTATTTTTTCATAACTTTTAAGTTTTTAATTTGAGGCTTACACCTTAAACCAACCGCCTCGAGGCTTACGCCTCACCTCTTTAGCACCCAACCGCCTCACCTCCTTCTTTAGCCTTTTAAAACCTTGGATTTATCTATGGATATCTTGTGAATATAGAATAAATCGTTTTTTTTTCATAGATATATTTTATTTGGGTAAATATTTATATATATATATACAAGAAAAATGAATGAGACAAAAAATATTGTGAGAATTTAAGGAAGGGAAAATCTATGATGCAGAAAAGATATGGTATGGAAAGAGTAGAGGTGGCTTTTCCAGCAAACAGCGTACGATCCTATCGTGAAAACATATCCAGATGTAGACTTTCTATCATCTGGATCCAATTGGAAATCGGCATCTGTATACCCTTGGATCTG